TCGGCCGACGCGGGCACCCATGCTCAAGCTGCGACGGCCAACAAAGCCCATGATACTGGGAACATCTCCGAGTATAAGAAAGTAAAAAGCTTCAAGGAAAATTCAGTTTATCGCAAGGCGAGAATTGCCGAGGTGAGAAACAGACACAAAAATCGATTTACCAAAATTGATAGAATGGAATTTTCAAAGATTGACGCTGCTTCGTCTCCTACTGATCTGACTCGCGCTAATCTCAATGATGGTCCTGCGCAGTTAGTTGTTAAAAAATACGTCGATATTGATGTCGGAAAAGAACTCAACAACTTGTTCGCAGTCGAAGAATAAGATCCAAGATTAATTTCATCAAAAACTCCAACACAATATAATAAACAAATTACTTGTGTTAGAGTTTAATCAGATTTCTCAATGTTAACTTATAACCTGTTCGTTAGTTATAGACGTGTACCTCTCGGACTAACTAACGAATAGGCTACAAGTAGCCTAATCGTCCAGGCACGGGATACATCGCGTGACGTGTCCCGGTTTGTATCCCGTGGCTGGGCAATCTGAGATGTAACAACAAAAAACGCATTTCGTCAGGAAAAAGTTAATCGAGTTAGAATTGATAGCCGATTGCTTGACGATTTGTTGGTCTTCCCTTAAAGATAGTTGCTTGAATAGTGCCAGTTAACTTAGGACATTAGAATCTGGCAGTTTATTTAGCATACGATATATATGTCATTAATTCTGGCCTAATTCCAACAGGACAGCCACTTCAGACATTTCAGTCACTTCTCCAATAGCTTTAGCTATTTCTAGATAAGTGTATTAGTAGTATTTTAACATCAAATTAAATAAAAGTTAATGTAAAAACTCTTCACAATTCGAAAATTCACGTTAACGAAAATTGTGTTTTGCGCTTACAAAAGGTTTTTACATCGCATTGCAGATAAAAACATCATTTTTAAATACTATTTGAAAGGCAGAAAATGTACCTTTAATACTGCGAAAAGTAAACTGCAATTCATTGCTTAGTTATTATTTTGTTCAAAGTCTTGCGGGACAACTGAATAAATTTTTTGCTGTGAGAGCTTACATTTTACGTTATTGTGTAAAAACTATGTTACTACTAAGTTACCAAGTAGTTAAGTTCGATGTGCTTGTACGCATTAATCTAGTCCATGTTTTGATGCATATTTACTAATGGACAGTGGGAATTGTTGGCGGTATTCCACTTGTAGCGACTATATTTTGAACGTGTGGAGGATGTTTGTGTCGAGGCGCAGGTCGAGTTCATTGCGAGGCTATTTTCTGTTATTGGAATACCGCAAACAAAGATGACTGTCTGTTCCTCTGGAGGTCATATAATTAAGGACAGTGTAAGCTGTATACAACGGTCCCTATCTTTACCTAAATACTTAAAGAGCTTAAAATATTTCCAAGGTATTTTATAAAATAAAAATTTACACAGTATTATTTAAAATATAGGTAACATAAATTTTATTTACAAAATTAAAAATAAAAATTACCTTAGTTCTGGTTAAATAGTGTTCCTAAATTCACAAGATAGATTTTTGAATTTGAGGGAATTTTGTTTATCGAGCGTTAGTTTTTGTTTGAAACATGAGTGCTCATTCTCGACCCCTGCGAGGGTCGGCAGAGAGTAGAGAACTGCTATGACTAGGAGGCTCACTTGAAGAGCGTCGAATCCTTGCAGAATGCGCATTACTTACCTATTAATTATATGACAGCCACTTATTTTATCTAACTTTGAAGTAGAGTAATTGTGTACACAAATTTCGTGGTTTCCGACTTCTCTCGTCACTAGATGGCGTGGCCGCGCTACACTTCACTACTAATGTTTAAATAACGGTTTCAAGACGTTTACTCGTAATAGTAGATGAGTGATACGCTTTCTGTGTTAGTTGTAACATTGTTGATGTAGTATTTATCGATGGAACAGTTAAGTTATGATGCTTGTGACTATGTGGTCTTTTGAGATATTCCTATTCTCTTCTCTTAAATATTTTTTATTATAATTATTAATAGACTGAATGAAGAAAAGACTAAAAGTGTTTGGTATTTTGCGGTAACCGCATTATGGAAAGTGTTTTGAGACTGATGTTAAAACTTTGTATTGAACTATATTTATTGTATGTTTTCAAAATTGCGCATCAAATGACGCTTCATTTTTATTTTAACGCTAATTGAAGCATTCTTATTGAAAATATGAATGTCGATTGACTTTGAGAGGTATAACATAATACTGCTCGTACTCATGTACATTGTTGAAAACGTTTTATTTTAAGTCTTCGGCTAGTGAATAGTCTTGTAAGGTTTTAAAGTTTCTTTTGAGTTATATAAAGGAATAGAATGCTGCTAATGTTGACCTACCCCCTTTATTGAACTACCCTCTATTTCTTATCGATGTGATGTTTCTATTTATATTTATTGTATTGTATGTATATGTTATTTATGTATTTCAAAGCCGTCTGATAAATGTTTATTAGTTATAACAGTAGTTACGTACGTCCGTGTTGTAGACACAAGCGTAGCAACACCCTGTAGAGCTCCGCCGTCTGCGGCATCAATTACATCTCTACTATACTCTACGATGATACAAACATGTATCTTTTATCGATGTCTATTATTCTTATATAAATGTTTATGAGCGCTGTTTACGTTCAATTTACTCTTCTATGAATGTTTAGCTTGTAAGTTAATATAAGTAACAGTTAGTTACATATCTATATTACCCATCTATGTAGTAAACAGCGCGTTTTAATATTCTGGAAGCTCGAACGTCGCTCAATTTTGTGGAACGGAGTTTTTTGTTGACGATATGTATACGGAATGACAACTTAGCAGTCCGGTGTTTGTGTTGGGTTGAGCGCAGAGCGGATACACGTTCACAACGTGTTTGATGTTTTACTTAAATAATAATTACTTACTCTCTCTCTAAGTGTACGTACGCAGATATTGCATGTTCTATCTCCTATCTCTATGTGCAACTCTTGCAAGCGCCCATTTAAGTATCCAATATGTGTCAAATAAATATACAAAAATGTAATTGATGTTTTATTTTACAACCTCAAACACCCAAAAGTAATCTCTGTTGCCCTTATGGGGTACAGAAGCAATATAACAGAGCATGTGATCTAAAGTTGTGCTTGCTTCGCCTACCTATAGAAAGAAAAGAATGAGGGACTAGCTATGTGTAACTTTACTGGCAAAACCCAAAACGATAATTTTGAGTCGGTTTAATATATTATTTCATATGTGGACAATACCTGCTACTGGTGTTAGGAATGAGTTCTCGTCTAAACTTTATGGCTGCTTGAAATATCGCACCAGACACTTATGAATCTTGGCCACGTCTTGCGAACGTCCATATCATATACATCCCTACTCCATGGGCTTGAACTTATCCTTGAGAAGTAACTAGGGCTCTTTAAACAGAACCGGTCCTGATACACTCCTGATAAAGCGAATGGCTTTAAAAACCAATTATGTTGGCCAATTAATCAAAATAAACACTAGTGTTAAAAGGTGTCCAGTATGGCTGTCCACGTAGAGGTCGGCTTGCATTGCATTAGTTTCGACGTTGTTGATATAGCGCGCAAAAGGTCAATTTCATAATTCGCACTCAATTTTTTAAGATCAGCGCCATCTTGCGTGTCGCGATAAAACTATGATGTAATACGAAAGTTAGAAATAATGAGCGATGTGTAGCAGAAATATTGCATTAAATAGTAGTTTGTGTAATAATACTTTATGATAAAGGAAAAAAATAATCGGACAAAATAAACTGAGTTTATCTAAAAAATTTAATTCAAATCAAATTCTGTTATTCCTGTCCTTTAAAATTAAAAGTATGCATACTTTAAAAACGCTGCCATCTAGTGACAATATTGCATACTATCTAAAACCGACTCATCCGTTATTTTTTTCCACAATAGATGGCAGCATCATTCAATTTAAGGGACAGTAACATTAAAACCTCGTTATTTTCAGGTTAAGAATAATTACCACACTAAATTCTTTAATTTGATTTGTCCCGTTTTAATTGAAAAATCCAAGGGTCTAGCAAAGCCTAGGTAATAGTGATAATATTAAAAAAATGGAATGTTCGAATGATTAGCAAAAAACACCTAGCTACATCAGAAATTACTTATAACCTCACATACCCTTACTATACTTATCCGGCTACTGCTTATTCCTTAAAATTATCAGAAAGATTTTCAATTTTCTAGTTGTGATTGCGAGATTATCTTTCTTTAACACACAACTGGACTTAACTTTATACTTTAAAGTGACCATGCTGGTACTGGCGTCTAACTCTCCGCATGAACATGTTACAATGTCTAACGCAAAAGCAACCGATATGAAAGTTATTTTAACATTGTTACGGTCAGGGGGGGTTGCTGACCGCCACCGTTGTAAATAGAAAAAATAGATAAAACAAACGAATAAACGCCTACTAAATCCTAAGATTTTAAAATGATAGTTGTTTGACAAGTAGGCACCGGCAGAGTGACAATGTTTTCTTATGATTTCTTTCCTGTTATACCAGTGAAAGTATCAACCTTCCCGTGATGTCTGCCGCGGCCCGCAGGCCGCCTCGTAACTCAGGGAACAAAACGAATCTAATGCTACTTCGCTCCTCAACATCGGTATTACATATAAATCGACATACATAAAACAAATGAAACAAATGGATACAATCAGTCTGGTAAAAACGACTCGTCAGTTTTTCGTTTAAAAACGGTTTTTAAATCAATTACCTTTAGAATATAAGTAAAATTATTTCACTAACCTCAGCTGCATCACCGGTGGCAGGCGGCGCCATGAGTTAGGAGTAGTTACATGTTTGTAATTGCTGGTTCGTGAGCGAATGGTCTGGAACTATTCACATAATCGATGTCAACACAAGGTCCTTAATCTGCATTCCAATATGTATTTTCGCACCGAGACGAGGTGAGCGGGGCTCAGACCGAAGGACTCGTCGGCCTTGTTCTCTATATATCAACATCTTGTCTGACTTTACAAATCGTTTACAACAATAACACCGCTCGGTTTACACGAAATGCGTCGCACACCTAATCGTTTACTTTACAATGAATTTTTTTTCTATAAATTATCTGTAAATCTATAACCTTATATACATCTAATCAAAGTGCCCTTTTCTGACCTATATGTGTTCTCTCTGCACTGCTACGCAAACTGCTGTAATTCTCTCGGGGTGATAGCGAGACGCACATCTATTGAAGGCGGGGAGTTCCCTAGTTGGCGGCGAGGCGAGGAGAGGTGGTGCGGAGTCGGGTGGACGCGGAAGTGATAAATGCACGATAACCACTGACCTTCATGAATGGGTAAGCTTAAGACGTAGTATGTTATGCATTTTTAATCTTCGCCATTTTGACGTCGACGGTCGAGTTCGGTCGCGGTAGTGCGGATTTGAATTAATAATGGAGATAGAATTAACTGTCAACAATATCAACAGACAGAAGCACAAGCTGTAATTTCCAAACCAAGCCTATCCATTTATAAAGATCAGTGACAGTAACCTTTAATTGTCATAAGTGCGACCTCCTTGGAACCGCGCGACGCGTCATGGCCACTGAGATAGCGAGCCATATTTT